TGAGAAAATAGTGAGAAGTTGCCAATTACCTGCTGGTGTTTTTTAGCGGCCACAGAGGGTCTTTCTGTATAATAATATTAATAAAAAAAAGAAAGTAACATAAAAAAAAGTCTAATGTTGCTGTTGAGTCCACTTCACCACCTTTATTCTCCTCAATTAACGAGAATGGCTTTTGAAACTCTAATTAAGTGTCTCTGCTCCACTAGGCCTCTTCATTATTCATGAATCCCTATTGATCATATCTTACAACCTATACTATGGGGATGACTGTAATATCCTGAATCCTAAAAACAAATAGCTGAGCTGACTGAGATAAAATTAACATCTTGGCCAGTGAGCAAAGGACAGTTTCTGTAAATCCCGGATCTGATGCCAAATTGGATGATGTCAGAGAATCATTAATAGGAAAAATCTTGTATGAAGCCTATAGATATATGCCATTGCAAAAGTTTGAGCAATAATTCAATATAAGCATTTACTGAGTTTCAGTAGGGCTGTATTGCAAAAATATGATCATATCATTATGGCTGCAACTAACGATTATTTTCATTACAGATTTATCTGCCTATTATTTTCTCATCAATATATCATTTTGTCTTATGAAAATAGTGAAATATGCCAATCACAGTTTCCCACAACCCAACATGAAAATGTCAAAGTGCTTTCCACTAAGAGTAGAAAACTCAGATATTTAGTTTACTATCAAACATGACAATGAAAAGCATCTAATAATGCATTCACATAGATCCAGACAGGGTAGAGGGCAGACAGACAACACCTTCCAAAACCTAAAGTCATTCAGTCATTTCCAACATGAATAGTGAAAGGAGAACTGCCCTTGCCTGTGAGATACAACAACAACATTATCTTCTCATTGTCCAGAGAGCCCAGGTTTCCTCCTTGTGTGAAGGAGTACGTAAAATCCGGCAGCAAATTTCATCAAAAAGTTTAAATATTTTAACTTTGGTCAGCAATGCCGTCTACCGTTACTGTTGCTGTTCTTCTCACCTAATTTTACTGTCCTGCTCCACTATAATGATTTGCGGTTGTGCCGTCTACTGTCTGCCTGAATCCATGTGAATGTAGCATAATCCTCATATCTGACAAGCTGGAACCAGTAGGTGTGGAACCAGTTGATTTAGTTGATTTAAAAATTATGAAAAACTGAAAAAGCAAACATCAAAATTGTTAAAGATTAATTTTCTGTCGGTTGGCTAATTATCTAATCGCTGCAGCTCTACATATGTTATCGTTTTACAGAATTCTGTTATCAAATTTAACTTGACAAAATCAGATATTCGTTTTTGCATATTTGATCTGTTTCATCTGATGTAAAGCATCACAAATGAACACAGTTCATTGCATTGAATATAAATTTGACAACTACATTAGATTTTTTTCATTTAATTGCAATGTCTTGATATACAGTATATTAATATAAAAATATTCTTATAAATATAATATCTGCTAGGCCTCTTTTGTGATTTTTTGGTTGTTCATATAATGCATGCAGTATACAACATAACAGTATAAAGTATTTATGGATATCACTGATAATATTACCCTACTGTGTGTCTTGCACAACCACAGCTCATTTCACATTCAAAGAAATTATTTTGTAATGAATATTAATGGCTTGGAGCTTTATTTTAAACATGTATTCAAATTTACTGAAACTCAATCTCCACCTGTGTTAAGTAGGAATGTGTAAAACACGAACTCTGCCGGTTGATGTTTAACTAAATTAACAAAAGAGCGCTTGAAGAGCCCTTTAAAATGACTGGTATTGCACGGTGGGTGATGAATTTGGAGGAAACACATTGAGTCATCTTCAAATTGACAGATGCAGAATCTCTCCACAGGACTCTTCACGGTGGCTTAGTGCTCGAGTGAAAAAACTGATTTTACCAAGTTTAATCACACGCTATTACAAGGCAGCTTTTATCATTGCCTTCCACTGTACAAGTGCTGGTGTCTTCACTAGTTCATTACAGACAATTCGGCAGCACTCTTCTCATGTGTAATTGCATGGTTAGCTTTCCTCTGCAGCTTCCTACACACACTCTGGTGCAAACTATTTCCAATTCCAGTTTCCTTTCGAGAGCAATGCTGCAATTACAGAAATCTGAATATCCTGGTAATTTTCCCACAATTTCCATTTTTGTTGAAAAATGCTGTGCAACTAACAGATCTTTTCTTTCCGGGATATCCTTCAGAAAACTTTTTTTGTAACTTGTCTTTAGAGCAGAAATCATCCTTCCACCAAGGTAAGTTGGGTACTTGATGAACCTGATGAACAGTGAACTCTACAGGAGTGACAATCTGATAAATTAAAGTATAATTTTCTTGGTTTGTGTCTGCTAACTGATAATGCAGGGTAGTGCAGAGGCTGTCAGAGAAATTACAGGCACTGCCATGTTCATTTAGAATTTTTTGTGTAGCAAATTACATTTTATACAGCATACATAAGAATCTGCTATATTTGCTATTGCTATATTATACATGATTTATAACAAACAGTAATGGGAACTCCATATATTTTCTTTAAATGGCTAAATACTTTTTTTCTCTACAGAAAGAGAGACCAAAAAGCTATTTAGGCAGCAGAATTTGCAGGCTTTGTAAATGGCCAGCTCCTGGCCTTTTGTGTGCCTCCATTCATTATCACCACAAAGCGGTTGATGTCTCCCCTCTCTGCCTTTTCTGTGCTAAGCACCAGGCTCACCAGCCTGTCCATTACAGGCCCGTGACACGTGCTGCCTGGGAGATGGCCAAACAGAGAGGAATGTTAGTGTGGAGTTAAATTAACAAGCTACATCTGTGTGGAATCTGTAGCCAGTCAGAGAGACGAGATGTATCTCCAGTAACCGAGGTCTGATTATTTGTCAGCCGAGATGTTGTCGGTGAATTTGCAGCTTTTTTCCTGGTGGCTTCGCCTCTATTAATCAGCTGACAGTGGTGGTGTAGTCATGTTACGGTCGAAGGAACTCAATTGTTGTTTCTCAGCTATGCAATTAGTAGACACTCTATATGCTGACCGAGAGTAAGGAGACTTTCTTTAAACACAGGGGCTCCATTTCTGCTCCTCCTGAATAAACCTCATTGTATAAACTGGTACAAAGACCTCATGAAACAGTCAAATTTCAGAATATGAGATGTCATGAAAATGAACAACTTAAGTAACCTGCACTTGAAATTATGACATGAATAGATCTTTAGCTCTTTCGCTCTCTCCCTAACACACACACACAAGCTTGTGCACACACACACACCGTAATTACCCCTCAATCCATACAAATTGAATGAAGCCAGAATCGTGGTCTAAGAATATAGACCATAATTAATAAATTACAGCCACTCTACTCAATCATTCTCCACTTTGGGGACATGTAGACATCCCATTTACCGGAGAGTAATTGACTGAGCCCACAGAAAACACACCTAGTGCTTCCACGGTGGCTTTGGGGATGCATCTGGTGCCATTTCTTACAACCAAACAGATGCCTGAGTGAAACTGTGGGTCATATCGCAGATCTTCTATCCTGTGTGTTTACAAGTAACAAATCAAAAGGATGCATTATTTCTGGGCTCTGAAAATACGCCTGGGGGAGCTATCAAGTTTCTTTGCCACCCCTCCAAGCTTCCCCTCGCAGCTGCTGCACACAAGCAAAGATCTTTTTTTTTCTCTAAAGACAGAGTGTGTGCCACAGTCATGGAGTCTCAAGAAGCAAAATAATGTTTTTCTTAAGTATAATGTAAAAATCCAATGGCAACATCTATTTTTCCTGGTGGTTACTACAGCTGAATAACTGGAATCTGATAATGGGAAACAAATAGACAGATTTGTTAATTTTATTTGAACACAGTAAGTGGGTAAAATAGATACCATAGCAGAATACTTGCCATATATAATCAAATTCACATCTGTTTTTGAAATAAGGGTGGGGGGGTCACCTCACATTGCCTCCATTTACAGATATTTCTTTGAAAATAATATATTTTGTTGTCGTCGTGTGTGTCCCCTTGGGCGAGAAAAGGGCCCACTGGAGACTGTCTAATGATTGTTGGGTCATGTATCAAATACACAGCAGCTGGAGGCAAGAGGGGAAGAGTACATACAGTGTGGATGGTGGGGGGTGGGAGTACTAAAAAGCGGAGTCTGTAAGGAAAGCCCAGAGTGTCTGGATGCTGAAAGTGGGTGTGAAATCTGTAATGGATGCTGACCAGAGGTCTCACACACTGGACCTTAAGAGCTCTGACCTTTGTCTGTCTAACATTCATTCAACAAATTACTCTAACAAGCTGCACTGAAGCACCGTCGAACAGGCAAAAATAATTCAATTTTAGTGAATACTTTTATCTAACAAAACAACTCAACAAATCATTTTATGTATATAATCACTCTATATCAACAATAGTACAACCTTTACATTCATCGCCACGGTGGATTTCCTTTCATGCCACCAAGGTAGTAATTAGCACTAGGTGTTTTCATGGAAATGATCTGAGAGAACACACTAGAGTGACAGGAACATGTGCCAAACACGTTTTTAAAAGCCCCGTTCTGCTTTTCATAGATTGTGAAATACAGATTTTTATTTTTTATTTAAAGGACTACTATAAAGTTGAATTGCTTTCCTTATGAATAAATAAATCTCTCTGAAAAAGTAAAACCTGAAATGTCCTTGAATTGGATGCCTCTTGACCAAAATAGTATTGTAATCACTTTATCCAGTGCCTATATATCCACAGCTTTTTAAAATTAAAAATGTCCCTAATTGGTTTTTAAATAAGTGTAAAGCTGCTGTCATCCTCTGCAGTCGTCAGCCTAAATCAAACCTTTGTTTTTCCAGTTCCCAGAACAAGCAAGGAACAGGTGAGTGAGTGAGACAGTAATAAAGTACTACTGCCACCTGCTGGTCTTCTGGTTCATTCAACCCTCATTTACAGACTGTACCTCTGGTCCTGGTAGCTCATCAGAGCCAGTGCGTTGGACTGACCTGAGGAACGTGTCCTAGGAGGGCCCACAGCGAATCAGCTGACAGGGTCTTGACTCGGGAAAACTCGAGCATGTCTGTCTCCTGCCGGTTGAGAGCGATGTACTGGCAGCCTTGGTAATCTCCTTTCAGTTGCTCGCCACAGTGCAGCCGCACCAGATCCCACGTTCCCACCCTCCTCAGGACCTCCCGCACTGACTCCATCTGCCTGTACGACAGATGACCTGCAAGACAAAAATAACAAGTTGACCTGGTAACATTCACCTGTCTCCATTCTATGCTGGATTCGTTACACTGAAAAGCATGTAAAGTCAAGTTGTTGAGTCCTAAAAGTCGCATTATCTTAAAAAATCTTTTTTTGTATTTTTGGGCAATTTATGTCTTTTTTTTCGAGACTTATCAGAAGAGAGATGACAATAAATTAGGGGAGAGAGAGATGGGATGACACACAACAAAGGTTGCGATTCAAAGTCTGCACCTTGTTTCCAAATCGTCTGTTTCGAAAATCTTGAAATGAACATCATTAACATGAAACAACGCAGATCACAGACACGGCAGACCTCCGCCAAGGCCAATAGCCCAGTCTTGTCCATGATATGCAAATCTGCAAGAGCAACCACTATGCATGTATGGCTATTTTTCCAAAACTGTACAGTATGTCAAAATATGGTTGCATCTAGCTGAAGCTTCATCATCTCAACTGTGCATTTATTATGTACTTCCAGGTTAGAAAATCAAATTCCTGACTGATTATTTCTTACATACCTGCTGCATTTGTTTCTACAGTTATGTTTGAGGTGGATGTTATGTTTTGTTGTATGTTTAGTCTCGGCACACATTCATGTGAATTCAATGAAAGTGAAAAATAATTTGTGCATCCTCCCCGTGATTCGGCTCCCTTTCAAAAATGTAACGAATTCTTCCTTGGCCAATGCTACACCCTTCCACCAAGTTTCATTAAAATCGGGCCAGTAGTTTTTCTGTAATCCTGCTGACAGACAAACAAATGGCATCAAAAACATAACCTCCTGCGGAGGTAATAAGGTGGACCACTACACTATAATCAAGAAAACAACTCTGATAATCAGAAATGCTTGAAACAAGTGGATTAGTATTTAAAAGAGGGTGAATTGACAAAATTCTAGTGTTACTTTTATACTGGGAAAGCAGTCTGTTTCATTCTGTCTTTTGTTGATACAAGCTGATTTAGAACCAGGTTAAAACAAACGGTCTGCACTAGCAAACTCCTTGATGTTTTAGGACTCTAATAGACAAAAATTAACATGCATAGACAGCGATTCTTACAGTGTATTAGAACAACTGAATCCTTCAAGTACCTATGTATATCTTTTAAGAAGCCACTTACCAGAGAGCCAGGAGGGAGTCAGCGCATCTGATATCCAGGCCATGTAGCCCTCCCTGAAAGATATGAGGAAGTCGTCTATCTGGCTGTGGGGGACAAGCTCCCTCCTCTTCCTCAGCTCCTCATCCAGCTCGCAGTCTGGAGAGAGGAAAACAACCCTGGGGAAGAAGAGGCTTTGGCGCACAGACACTCCACTCCTCTTCAAATGGCCACACAAGTTAGCAGTCTTGGTCTAGGGGAGAAGAATTTACGCATACGCGAGTAATGATTATTTTCATTACTGATAATCTCTCAATTAGTTTTGGATAAATCATTTAGTCACTAGGCCAGGGTACCAATTCAATTGTCAAGTACTGACAGCTGGAGCTAAATTTCTGGTCAGATTAGTCTTGTTTACTTTGTCATGCAGTCCCTGATTTGAACAATAATTTCTCTGCTTATAGACGGTTTTGATTTTTTTGTTACATTAAAAGCCAGTTTTGTAGAAAAAATGGTTTGTATTCTTTATGACAAAGTGTACCTAAAAGTATTGCTGTGGTATTCTTACAGAGACTCAGTACCTATTATTGAGCCCCACAGTGATGGCTGTAGCTTGCTTTGTCCAACCAACCAACACAGATACTAAATTTACAATCTTATAACAAAAACACATTTTCTCTTTATAGACTAATCAATTAATCGACTAATTGTTTCAGCATTAGTTCAATCAAGCCTGATAGTTTATTCATCAAGAAAAGATAAATTTGTCAGCATGTGCTCTCTGTAAATTCACACCAGTTACCTCAGTATTTAACACTTTTATAATGACCTAAAACACAAATCCAATTTTCAGTTTCTATAATCGACCCATTGTAAGAAAAATATACAACTTTAAATTGGCACAGACGGCAGAGCTGTATTTGCTTTGTGTAGAATAATGAAGTTAATACGTCCAATTCAAGCAGAACTATTTAAATAATGCAGTGTGTGTTTGCCATCAGACTCTTCTGTCAAGCTCCCTGTCAAAATTGAGCATCTATAGAGATGGAAATGAATGACTCCTAACAGACCCAGGCCCATAAGGTGACAGCTGTGTTTAGGCACCTGCCTGCTTTCCCCCTCCCTGTGAACATAATTGTGGCATTTCAAATGAAGAGCAGCCACTTGTGAAGTTAAGGAAGCCCGCTGTAGTGTTTGAAATTTCCATATAAATTGTTATGGTGACTCAGAATCTCTTAACCCAGCTAGAGTTTGGGTGAAAACAATGTTCCGGACAATTGATGGGACCTTGGACACAAGTGTGCCAGACAGTTTGACATTTAGGTTCCCATGATGGTATTTCAACATTTCAGCTAAATGTGTCTTTTTACCATGATAGCTCTGAGGGGATCTTCAGTCTGCTCAATGCAGGTATTGGTAAAATTTTGGTCCTCTTCTTTCACTTGCACTTGCCAGTTTTGGTGGTGAGCGGACACTATGCCTCTCCAGGGTTTTACATCTATGCAGAAGATCCCCTGGCCTTAGTAAAAAGCAAAGAAAGGCATTACTGAAGATATACAGACTCTGAAGAGCTGAACAATACCCCATATACTGTAGAAATTTTTTTCCTTAAGGCCTCAGTGCAAAATTGATCAAATCTTCTGACACAGTTTATGTAATTTTAGATCACAATAGCGATATATATTATGACATAAAACATTTTCTGGAAATAGATTAATATAGATTTTTGTTTAAATACATGGGAATAAGCGTTGGGCTGTATTAACTGAAGTAAAGTGAAACTTTAAAACAAATACCCCAATACAGAAATATTTATAGTGTTAATCACCATCTGTGCTTTCGGAACACTTTCAAACAAATCTGTACTGTGAATATGAAGACATTTTGGCTCACGAAGAAAAGCTCAGGGGTAAATCATAAAATTAAGGATGTCTGAATTCCATATAGCTGCTTCAGTTGCAGGGTCCTGGTATTGTGCTTGCTGGCTCACTGTCAATAAGAAAACTGTTGTGGCTTACTGGGACACTTGTATAGAACAGAGCCATCATTAATGCTATTACTGACACCTGTGTTTTTCCTACTATGACAAGACAAGATGTCTGCGGGGGGAAAAAAGCCTATTAGAACAATTCACAGTTAAATTAAATGTAACTCAGCTTTAAAGAAAAAAGTAAATTTAAGATATATCTCAATATTCTAAAAACCTACGTTCAGATGGTATTGAATCCTATACCACAATATCAGTATTGATTGATTGCCCATTTGTATCATAAAAATGCCATTTTATTCTAGATACCAACTTGCAAGGATAACAATGTTGATATCCTCTTTGGTGTTCTGAAACTGGTCGGGGATACGCAGATTGCAGTAAACATCCTCCTTTCTCAGGCCGGTGAGTCTCCTATAGTGAACAGTACACAGAAATAAGAGAATATCCAGTTAGATTTTGTACAAAAGAAGGGCAGGTAGCCAATGTTTTTAGAACTTTTATCAGAGCTTTTACTATTACTGCAGCTGAAAAAAAGGTTGAAGAGAGCACAACAGTAGTGGTGGCCATAAAACCAAAACAATGAGCTGAAAGACGCTAAAACTCTCTGTAGAGCAATGGGGAACCACAGGGATAATTCTCACTGGATTCATTACTACAAGCAATCCCTTTCATATTACATACAGTTATAAATACAGTAATATAAAATATTTATTAATGCATCTTTAGGTTACACTATATTTACCTGACATGTTGTAAAAAATCAGGTAGTGTTGGTGTCTGATGTAGCTTCTGGCCTCGAGCACTTTCTGAAGCTTTGGAGCTGAGATGAAACTGGGTGAACAGGCTTCGAAGTTGAGGCATTCTAGTCTTTATCTGAAAACAAACACAGTAAATTTGCATAAATTACATAGGTTCAGTTGTGTGGCTTCCCCCAGTACTGTCAAATGATGCCAATATGGTGTTTAAACTATATTTAACATGTTGTTCTACAGCTCCTCAATCCAGTGTGTTTTTTTTAGCTGAATCTAATTTTAGCTAAACAAATTCAATGGAAAACAACGTTTCCATTGCTTCAGCATTGTTGTGATTCCCCAAAAGCATGCTAACTGATACATTAAGGCTTTACAACTTTGTTGACAACACTTGAATGCGTGAACTTGAACTTCAGGACCCTGTGAAGAGAAAACAGAGGAAAGACGCCACACAGCATGCTGAACTCGAAAGAGCCCTAAAACAAAACAATACATACTGTTGAAGTCTCGCGCTGTTTATAGAGGCTTTCAAGAGGAATTATTAGGGAATTCAGTTCGACATTTTTCCCGGCGTTAATGTCGGTCTAAGGGTCTCTTTCCAAATGCTGAGCAACGTAACTCTATCCAGGAACGCTGTTTCACAATTTTACCACCGCCCCCTCCTCCTCCTCCTCTCCAGCAGCACTTCCAGCGTTCCTGGAAGAAGTAAACAACAGACCACGTGCACCACCTGCAGCATCGTATTTCGCCCACAGAGACGTTACGTCGTACACGTCACCCATCCCCTGAAGTGTTTGCATGATGCATTCAGGGAACGATTCCTGTTATTTTCACGTGATGTCCAGATGATGCTTTGGACTGAGAACCAGTGGTGGAAGAAATACTCAACACCACAGTGGAATAATACTCCCACATAAGTAGCCTACACGTAGGCTGCATGTACAAGCAATTTGTATGTAAGTAAATGTAAACAAGTATTTGCAGTTCTCAAGTGTTAAAAGTAATGCTATGAAGATTGGAGATTAGTGTTAAAAGGTGGAGCTTTTGATCACATCACATGATCTTTATCAGCAGATGGATTTTGCACAGTTGGGGGGGGGGGACTAAAATCCTTCTTTGTCAGAGGTAATTAAAAGTTGGAGGTTGATGAATACTTTTTTATACCACAACTCACTTATACTAAGTTTATACGTTGGCTACTTCACACCTGTGCTAACATTGAAAATGAAATTCATTGTCATCCGAGCAAATATCAGTAACAATTTGTTTGAATTCACTTAGATTCCAAAAAACTTCGGGAAGTACTAACAGAAAATTGTCAACAGTCTACCACTGAATAAGTATATTCAACAAAACTGCATTATGGTAACACCAAACATTAATCAAAATCCAGTGTTGTTTGTGCTGCAATGGTGCAAAGTTAGCTGGATTTCATGTTGCTGTAAAATCAACTTTTGATATGCAGATGAAAAAGGCTGCATGCACTCGTGAAAGGTGTGTGTGCCTGGTGATTATGTGCTTGAAGAGCTTACATCTGGGGAATGTTTGTTACTTGCTTGATTAATTATCCTGATATGCAAGACTTTGGTTGGTTAGGGATTTCTTTTTGACATAAATCATTATGGAATTTAACATTTAAAATTACTGCAGTTTTTAATACTAGAAGAATAGGAATCATTGGGGAGCCCAATGCGTGTGTATTCTTAGTTCAGTGCCAAGAGCTACATATTTGATCACTTCTCCTCATATCTGATCAATATGTGCCTCCACAAACAACTAGGATTGGGACTGGAATGTAGATAAGGGATAGTATTGACATTTTCCAGTCTGGCGTTAAAAGAAAAATATAGATTACTTCAGAGAGCTGGCTCAACATTGCATTCTAGTTATATAACTTAATAATGATTAATTAATTCTAAGATGTATGGTTAATTTTAAGATATAGCTGTGCAAGATGAAGGTGAATTAATGAATAAAATCATAATTACAGGTGACCCTTGATAGTACAAAGAGCAGACTCATCACAATAATGTAGAGAGGCTGAAAATAATAACATTTTACATTTCATAGCATATGGGGGGACACTGATGAAATATATATTGTGTTTTTCCCCCCTGCACTCATAGATAGTCTACTAAGAATTTGCTGGCACATCCAACAGGATTCTCACATCCTGCATGAGCCTACGGAGAGGATATTACAAAAGTGATGAAGAATATTTAATTCAGCAGTAAATACACGTTGAATATCTCAATGTGGTGATAAACAATATCCGGATAGCACAAAATACTATGAAAGAACTTAATATCAAGGACAGATAGCCAAATCAGCTCATATAGGCTCAATGGAAGCCAATAAACAGAGGCACTCTGCCTCTCCTGACCTTCACTTCTGGCTGAGATCGGGGCGATAAGGCAGGCGCAACCTCAATAAAACCCATACAATGGAGGAAAATAAATAGATATTAAATTAAAGCAGAGGCAATACTAGCTGAACTGATGCAGGAATTCTAGAACAAAAGCTTCTTTGTGCAGTTCAATATTGTCTACAATCACCGCCTCATGATATATTTCCAATCATTTTCATCTCTTGCCTTGACGTATCAACACATTGAATCATCTTGTATTGGAACTTGCAAATGACTTGTGTGTGTGCAGCCACATTTATATATTAAATGTGCGTCATTCTCCTAGTTTGGCCTTTTCGGTTGGCGTTAATATCAAATTCATAATCTCTCATCTCTGACTGTCCACCAAGGAGGATTTTATGATGCCAAACTTGTATCACGTAAACCTTACCCTGACAACATTTTATGTTCTTTTAGGCACTAGGCTCACCAACTACTCAAAAGTAGTAACTCGCAGAGGGATTAGCAAGTGTTTTTGGTGTCATTATATATACTGCTACTGCAAGATCCATGTTGATGTCTTCAGGCTTTTGTCATGGACTGAAATATAGGCCCTCTTCAGATCCACTGCATGCTTCAAGTGGTTCCTGAAGCCTTGCATCTACTATTGTCAGTGTTAATGTCATTTTCACGTAATGCACCTGAAGAGCTCCGCTGTGTATGTGAGGAGTTGCTGAGGGTTTTCAGGTCCCCTCTAAAGTGTAGTAAGGCATCTGAGTTCATACTTGGGGGGCCTAGCTTCTATTGTATACAGGGCAAAGTGACCATAGTAGTATGTATGTATTTGTAATTTTATGAATCTGACTATCATGCACAAGCAGATATTCAGTTTCTAACATTGTAAAAAAGAATATCATAATTTTTCACACTGACAATATTTCCATTTTCAATCTTTCAAATCAAATATGTAATTTGCAGAAGTAATGGCCACATGACATCACTGATGCTCTGCTCACTAATTTTTGCTCATTTCTTTTGAATTATTTATATGAGAGATTCTCCATATGCTCTGTGAGGCTTCTTGTCCATTAGTTTCAGTGAGAATTAGCATTTTACAGTGAAGAGTATAAAGAGCTTAACTGCCCCAATCAAACCAGGTGATTTAAATCCTGTCTAATCGAGATGTTTAATAGGGGTTGGAGCTGGATGAGCTGAACTAAATGGTCTGAAAATGTTCCTGGGTCTCAATCACCTGTATAATTAGGGCCATTTCACCTGAAAAAACATGGGTGCTGAAAAGAGGTTTACAATATAAGACGAGGTGAAATAACCCTTTTTGGGGTTGTTTTTTGCTAAATTGCTCAATGCAAAATTACTAACAAAAAGACAGCTTATTATATCCCACTGATATAATAAACTCAGTTAAACCTGGGCTCAAAAATGAAGCGTGAAAGTGTATAAAACTGTTTTATCGGCCTTGGAGAGCCTTTGTGACTGGCCTGCCTCAGTAATTAGTTATGCCATACGAAGAGGTAATTTGTATGCTAAAGTTTAATTGTCCAATTATCACTGGATGTGAAAGGAGGCCTTGATGCCATTTCATCATGTTTGAAAATAGCGTTGTACCCCTCGTGCCACATATTCTAGTAGATGGCAATTATAGAGAGAGCCCTCTAACTAAGTTGATTGATGCAGGCTGGCCCCTTTGCTACCTGCCTGGTGCAATCGTTGGCAGTGAAGAGTTGATCCATTCAGCCTGCAGAGCTGAACCAGCCGGGCTCTCACTATGGAAAAGGACCCCAACTAGCTGCTGATAGACAGCATAAACACCAACTGTATAAGTGCTGAGGAGGACAACATGTTAAAACAACATTATTACAAAGTAAACAAGAGAAAATTTGTTAGGTATTCATTGTTTTTAGGAAGCTCCTATAAAAAACAAAAAAACAACATGGTGAGTTTCTTCATGCTATAACAACAAACAGAAATGAGTGTTGAGAAGTGATCATCAGCATTTTTCATGCTGTCCTGGAACATTTTTACTGCTTCCTTCTCAACTTTGCATTTCACCCTGGGGATTGAATTTTGGCTCTGTGATAAAATGTCAGTGTAGTGACCTCTCAATGAAAGCTAAATAAATGTATACATTGTACACTGTAAACCTGAATAAGTTCAGAATACTAAATTTTTGTGGAAACTGATTACCTCAAACTTAAATATAATACATTTTTAAAAAATCTTTAATTTCCGCATACTAAATTACATACTGATGCTTATTAAAATTAAATTTCACTTATTTCACTTTACTCAAATGTAATTGTGCACAACTTATACTCTGAGGGAAATCTACTCAAATAAATAAATAAATAATTGTGCTACACTCAAATACTAATGGAAACTCGCTCAACAAAATGACTACTAGTAAACTTGCCCATTTTCAGATAGTAGTCCTCAAAAATACAAATACAACTCCGTTATTACAATTCACGTTCTCTTTATTAGTATCATCTTCTCACAACATCTTCCATCATTTCTACATTTAACAGACACATCTTGCATAAAGCTGAATAGACAAAGTAACTGACTGCTTGATCAGATAATTAACCAGCAACAATTTTGATAAGCAATTTGTTTTCATTCTTTTTTGCAATAATGTTGAACATTCCCTATTTCCATTTGAGATTTTTGTTATAATTATGATGTTAAGTTATAATAACTTGAATCTTGAGCTAAATAAAGTTTCCTTTTACTACTTACTTTACTGTGTTTTGTGGAAAAAGCGACTAATGCATATTTTTATTCCATCAGCAGCACTTTTACTTAAACATAAAAGGGAGCTTTAAATGCATAGTTTTATGGAATCATAAGCTAATAAAGATTGTTTCAAATAAGAAGTTCAACATTATGCAAATTGTTAAGTCAGGTAGACGAGGTAATAGAAAAATATCAGGGTTTCTGCAGGTTTCACCTGGTCAAATTTAAGACCTTTTTAAAACCATTATGAATGAAATTTAAGACTTATATCATGGCTTAAAAAAAAGAAATGCACAAAGGGTGTCAGGATGTGTTTGGTTGAGAAGGTTGCTGGACCCAAATGCAGGACTCAGTTCAATGATTTAATTAAACAAAAGGCGCGCACTCTTACAATGAGTGGCAGAGCAAAATACAAGCAAAATAAGACGCAACAGATCAGAATAATAAACAAACTAACTCAGACACAAGCAGACAAATCGCAAATAAGCTAGCACCAACAAGGAACACAGACTGAAGCTAAGATTAAACAGAACTCTAAGCAGACATGGGCAAAACAACAC